CTGTATGGATAAGGATTTGCCAGTAGAGGATTTGCGCTAACGAAACCATGACTTAAGCTCGTTTAATCGTGGAAAAAAACCATTGGCGTCCTAGAGACAAGATCAATGAGCTGACGTAGCGACGTGCTTTTGGCGAATTCCAGGCACTCGGGTTCGAATTCTGTCAGAGATGAGGGCGAAGCTGTATATTTTTCTAGCAATAAGGATAGAATAAAATCCTATTTCAACTTGGGAGCTTATGTGTTAGTACACATGAGAAAATAAAACCTTAAATGTATGCTTCCCAGTGGGTGCTATAATTTTTTAACCCAATAAAGTGATATTACGTCTCTACTGGTAGCTACCCTTGAAACAAAGCTTCTTTATTGCTTCTTGTAGATAGAAGAAAAACTTATTTAGCGCATATATAGCCTTGTCTTCCGAAGCTTCCCAGCATGAAAAGAGATTTTTAATAAAAAGTCTCATTTACCCTCTGCTTCCATACTGTTATGTCCTCCTCATGTATGAGATAACGTGTTCCGCTTTGGTCGCACAAGTTGGCAATAGTTTTGATGCTGATAAGAACCAGACATTGTTGGAATTTCGGCCTATTCCGGAGACGAAACGACTTTTGTTACTATCTTATACTGCATTTTATTGTCAGGCCATGCCATCTTTCCAAATGGTCATGGATATCTGGTCTCTTGGCAACATTTGGTATCGATCACTGCTACATGTTATCGGGATGAGGTAGGTGCTGTTAGCTTGAATTCAGGGATATCTAGCCCCTAATATCATATTATTTTCTATACTTGCCAAAAAAGAACCACTTTACTTCTATAGAAGTGTAGCTTGGGTCAGCCAAAGCCCCCAATGCAGAGGCCTCGGTATTGTTGGCCTCCCTAACAGCGACTTTATGTCCCTTCCTTTTCAGACGAGATCCAGTGATCCCGAATCACGATCCTCCATCAATACGCCTCTGACAACTAGGATCGAGGTGTTGCACGATTTGACCGTCAAGACTGTTAAATCAGTTTCTGAGCCCATTGATCCCTCCGTCTTGAGAATCCAGTGAGTTTACTTACACTGTCAACCCTTCAGAACGATCAAGACGCAATTTACCTCAAATATATAAATATATAATACATAGTATAGTTTGTAATGATATATACAAGTGTTTAACTAGCAAATATAGGAATATATAACTAAAAAATATATAAAATGCATAAAGACCAAGATGGTGTGGCCTTTTGTAAAGTCGCAGTCTCCTTTCGTTGTTTAGAAGTTGTTTGACGTTGCTTTCGTAACTTGGTATGAAAACTTAGAGGAACGCACCTAGTCCAGAATCCATAGTATGCATGAGACTTTCCAGAGTGGTAGATTCCATAGCCCGACTCTGGAAATTATCATGCATACTATGGACTCCAGGCTAGGTGCATTCCTCTAAGTTTTTCTACTAATATGACCTAGTTGCGAAAAAAAATCAAACAACTTCTAAAAATATATAATTATATATTATAAAATG